ATAAATGCTGCTGTGGATGTAAATGTAAACGTGAGTGTGGCCTTTTTCAACAGTGGAGTGTTTGTGGTGAAATATGAACGCTAACAATCAGCTCAGAATCATGAACAAACCCTGATCTGACCCATCATGAGTTACTGGTGCGTTGCAGATGAGCAGTTCAAGAATCGTCTCTTAATTCAAATTATTTATGTTTCTGCAGTTTCATGCTGATAAACGGTCATTTTGACATTTCTGTAAAGAGCTCATGTTGATTTGTCGTTGCATGTGGTCCGTGTTGGACAGAGCGAGTGCAGCCACGGCACAGATTCATGTGTTGGTTTTATCCAAAGTGACTCCAAGTACAAGTTTCATGACTTCACACGGAGCACCGTTGTTTGTGTAAGTTGTCTTTAAACTAAGAGCGAGTGGATCGAGGAGGAGGAAGGCTTCGTCCTCTGCCTCCTGTTGTGCTCCGCCGAGGCTTCCTGCTGAAACGCCTCCTCGGCCGACTTGTCTGAGCACAGCAGGAATGTTTGGCCTCAGATGTTCTGCAGAGCCGGGCCGCTAACCGAGGCCAGATGTGGACGATGCCGTAATCGAGAACAGAGCGGACGAGAGGAAAAACGGCGACGGATGCGATGTGAAAGTCGCTGCAGAGGCTTTTGTGTGTTTTCGTGTCGAAGCAGAACAGAAAACAACACAGTAAACAGTCTTTGTGTGAGACTTCCTCCTCTGAACGGGAACACGAGGCGGGAGCACTTTTCCTGAAGGCCTCGATGAGTTTAACAGTCGAGCGTTTCCTAACTCCAGTTCCTCATTGTGTTTGTCACAGAAGTTGTGCTGAGCTGCAGAGAATTTCCATTTCTGTGATGCAAGTTGAACTTTATTTGCACCGGGGATGGCGACAGTTATCAGTTAATTGATGAATTAATGATTTAACTAATGGAAAACATGTTTATCGTTAAGGCACAAGACAAATGAATGCATGTCAGAAGATGTATTGTAGATTAGCTGTTGCGCCCGTTATACCCGCTAAAGCTAGCAAAGAGCATTGTGGGCGTTAGGCTAGCAACGGGCCGCCATGACAAACACTTCTGTGATGCTAAATGCTCTGTGTTGTTTCTGTTATACCTGCTAAAGCTAGCAGAGAGCATTGTGGGGGTTAGGCTAGCAACGGGCTGCCGTGAAAAACACTTCTGTGATGCTAAATGCTCTCCGTTGTTCCTGTTTTACCTGCTAAAGCTACCAAAGAGTTTATGTTGGCATGCGGAGGTCATTAAGCGCCACAGAAGTCATTGTCATGTCGGCTTGTAGCTAGCTAAACCCCTATAAAGCTTTCTTCTCGCTGTAGTACCTGGTTGTTCCACCAGGTGGAGCCTCTTACTGTTGAATATTGTAGAGACCAGAGGAGGTGGTCTCTGATTGGTCGTTCATGTTGGCATCTGGAGCTCATTAAGTGTGACTGAAGTCTTTGTCATGGTGGCCCGTTGTTATTTTAACCCCCATAATGCTTGTTGCTAGTTTTTGTCGGTATAACTGGTCTATAAAGTGTCCGAAAATGGTGAAAAAATGTCGATAAGGGTTTTCCACGATGACACATGTTATCCACAACCCAAAAATATTCAGTTTACTGTCACAGAAAAGGAAAGAAACCAGAAAATATTCACATTTAAGAAGCTGCGATCACAGAGTTTGTACGTTTCTTCTTTAAAAATAGAAATAAAAATAATATTTAACAACTAATCAGTCAAACAGAAGTCAGGGACTTCTCCAACCACAGAATCCTTTGTTGAATTGTTTAGTTTATTGTATTAAACTGATGGTGTCTGCAGATGTGTGGAGCTGCAGCTTCTAGTCCCCGAACTAAACGCTCTGTAAAAAGATTTATCAGTAATTAGGTCAGAGTTTGGTGCTTTTTAACAGGTTTTATAGAGCTGCAACACTAGAAGGAAACTCAGAGCTTTGCTTTGAGAGCAGCAGAGTTTGAACACGACTCGTTGTGGGGTGGTTGAGGTTTCTGTGTGTACGTATGTATTTACAGTGAATGTCGTGTTGGGGAGCTGTGAGGAACCACAAACCACACAGAAAACACACGGCGTCCATGAAGCCACCGCCGCGGTCTGGACGCCGTCTCCACAGGTGGTTTCCTTCTCTTCGTGTTTGTTTTTTTTTTTCCTTTCCTCTGACCTATCGGGCGTCCGACCGGTTTAATCCTCACACAGAAGGACGCCTGTTCGTCAGCCTGCCTCAGCTCTGACCTCGTTTCTGAAGGAGGTCGCGGGGTTTATAATTGACACTTTAAACTGTCGGTTAAACAGACACCTGTAATAGAGTCTCTCAGGAATCTGCTGAAACCTTCAGCCGCATGTTTGACGCAGCAGCTGCCGGGTTTTTGTCCTTTGAGGAATCTAAACGGCTAAAACACCAGCGCTCCTGGGACATTTTTACTCACTGTGGGCCAGTTTTCACTGCAACATAAAGTCCTGCAGCTCAATGCAGATTTATGTTTTCAAAAAACTTGACTCAACACGTGCAGCATTTTTTCTACTTTCCACAAATGCAACACATATTGGTTTAAAAAATGACGACGACACAAACTACAGATATTTAACTTTGTTTTTTTTTTCCCAAACTTGATGAAAACAGTCAGTCGTGACTTCTCAAATGCGATAAGAAGCGAGTAATTTTTTCATTTTTTTTACAGATTTCAGTCGCAGTAATCTGTTTATCATCGGCACATTTTTAAACGAGACGGTCATTTAGATGAAATATCTTGATTTAAAGCTCAGATTTAGTTAATTTACTAAACTAAACTGCACAGACGACAAGTTCAAGAACCTTCTGAAAGTTTAAAATCAGATGGTTACAGTTTGAAGCTCGTGACAGACAATTAAACACATTTGAATGTTTTCATGTTTAAAAAGTTAAAACCCCAGATGTTGATTTCTACGTTTCCTTTATTCTGTCTGCTGCTTGAAAACATCCTGAGCCACGAGTTTAAAATGGACTTTTGCGTATCTGCAGCTCATAAAGCTAAACGTGAGCACGTTTGCGGCGGTAAAACGTGTCGACGGTTGTGTTTGTTTTTCGGTGACGCCTGAGTTTTAACTGATTGTTTGTCTGCAGGGCTAAACGTTATCTCTGCTCTGAGACGAATAACGTCCGTCCGATAAGATCCTCGCTGAGCTCTGCGGCTGCTGAACGTCACATTTTTGGTTTGTTACATGTTTAACGTTGGTTCTGCTGAAACGCTGTTGCAACAACTGGAAACACACTGAGGCCGATTGACTCTTGGACAGCAGGGTTACAAGAGTTCAGCTAAAGTATTTTGTCATCAGGTATTTCACATTAAAAGTCTTCTACATGTGTAGTTTTGTGTGACTGTGACCTGCAGCTACGTGAGCTTCAGTAAATATCACCGGTTGATGTCTGGATTGTTCAGTTTTTGGTAACATGAGCTCAAAGATGGAACTTTTCATGACTGCTTTGGTTTACTTCATTTTTGAACTCCCCCATAATCAGAGATTATTTGATCTACTTGACTAATATTACAGAAATAAGATGTCATGTTTTTACCTTTAAGAGTTCCTGAGATGTTGTTGTTCATTTCAATGTGAGTAGAAAGCTGCAGAAAGTCGGTCGACGGGCAATTAATAAAAAAAACAAAAAACAAACCAAGCAACTAAAATACAACAACAAGAACAAGAAGTGTTGTGAAAATGCTAACAAGCTAGCGTTTAGAGGGTATGTTTAAATGTAAACTGTTAACCTTCTTAGCATTAGCATGCTAACTATGTCTGCATAATCACAGCCAAACTGATGATAACTCAGATTGATTTAGTCATGATTGTTCTTCCATATTTAGAACTGCTGCTTCACTTTTATTTTTATTTTATTTTTTTGTTCCTTCAGGCTGCGGGTCGAGATTTACATCCTCACATGTGCGTCTCATGGCTCAGAATCTGACTTTAAGCCTCATTTTCATGTGACGCAGATCAAAACTGAAGAAAACAAATAATCTGAGTCACATGAAAGAAAGAAGGAAGCTGATGTTTGAACACTTTTCTGCTCCGGTTTCTCTTCTGTTTGCATTTGAAGTGAAATTTGGTTTTGTTTATTCAAATTTAGCACTCTCATTTTTATTCAACATATTTTTGAATTCCAGCCTACATTTACTTTATCTTTTTTAAACCCCTTGACGCCTGTGTTCGTCTGAGGAGAAGCCCTCTGCGTGACTCTCTAACAAACCTCCTCCTGTGTTTGCTGCAGGCCGAGTCCATCTGATAAGGAAACAGCAGAATTGCTGAAATATTTATGAGCTCGTTGGAGTCGCTCAGCGTTCGCAGATAATCGTATCCTCCACATCGCCGCAGCGTTTTATCGAAGCTCCCCACAAACCGAACACTCCTCGGCCTGTTTATAGGCGCCTTAATCAGCAGAGCAGTAAAACGACGCCATCAGTTCACTCGTTAGAGAACAGAGGAGTCACTGAGTGCAGATCAGACAGCAGCAGCAGTTAAATGATAATATCACAAGTAGAAGATTTTATGTTGAATGCATGTATTTTCTCTAAAAAAGGTGATTTTTTTCCTCCTTGTTTTAAGCATTAAATGTGATTGTACCGTAAATAAATCAAACATTTGCTGGTTAAAACTTCTTAAATATGAAGGTTTATTCGCCTCCATCTTTCATTTCAGTGTAAATTTAACTAAAGGCTGAAAAACAATAAAACGGTTGATTAAAGGTTTTTATTTGATTACAGGTTTATGTGGGATTCTTATTTATCAGAATGCATTGGTGGTGTGTTTAATGTGTTGCACAACAATAAAGAAACATGCAAATACATGAATTTACAAATAAATAATTATAAACAAATGACCTCTTGCTGGTCTACATTAAATTAATCAGGTCGTTTTGTTTGTAGCGTGTAGCATGTAGCATGTTGGCCAATTGTGCAGACGTTGTGCAGACGTTGTGCAGACGTTGTGCAGCTGTGTGACGCTGTGTTTCGTCCCTCTCAGTACCCGTCCGCTCTGGGCTTCTGCTTGGCGCTGTGCTGGTGTCTGCTGGTCTGTTCCAGTCGGATCTACTTGGGGATGCACTCGGTCCTGGTGAGTCACACAAACAAACAAACACACAAACAAACCAGCACACAAACACAGGTGATGCCAGCGCCGACACCTGCGGCGTCGCTTCGGCTTCTGAACCTGACATCCGACCCGTTGGAAAAATGATCCGAGCCCCAGAACCGACACACAAGCTGTGAAACTGTAGACCAGGACGGAAAAACCAAACCGGAGAAGAAAAATCAGCTAAATGCACAATAATGACACGTTTTCTCTGTTTTGTTAAATAAAATAATAAGAGTTTAAATTTACATGGTGACTGTAAAAACACGTCTGTCTGGAAAATTACACGACAGTCAGATTTTTAAGTCAGTTTTTTTTTTTTTTTTACATATATCTGAAGAAAAATTATGTTTATTAAGAAGTGAAAAATGATTTTAAAAATCCCCAAAACTATTATCTTACTGGTTTTCTCTGTTAAATTACAGATAACAACTAGTAAAAAAAAATTACAGATTAGGTTTTAATTTAGATCCATAAAAAAACAGCCCAAAACAATTTTAAATGATTTGTGAAGTTACAGATATTATGTAATAGAGTAACAGGAAAAAAGATTACAAAATTGCATGGTGACTAAAAAAAAATACACAACAGTATTTTTTTTAAAAATGTATTTAAAGCAGTAAAACATTTTTTTTACAAATATTTGAAGAAAAATATAAATATCAGAGTGAAAATTTGTCAAATTGACCCCAGAATTGTTATTTTGTAGATTTTCTTCGTTAAATTACAGATAACTACTAAAAAAAGTATATTAATTAGGTTTTGATTTACGTTAACAATAAAAACATCCCCAAACTGTAAATAAATCTGTACTTTTACTGTTGTCAGTAAAACAAATAATGACTGTCAAGATATTTGCCATCATTTGAAAGAAAAGTTTATTAAATACTGTAAAATGTTTTATTTTTAAACAGATTATCCTTGTTTTATTAAATTACAGATATCTAATAAAATGACACCAAAAACTACTGATTTACATGTTGACTGTCAAAAAAACAACAAATAAAAACTATAAATAAATCCATATCTACAGTCTGTTTTTAAAAAACGGGATTGTGTTTTACTATAATCAGATTTTTATTTAAAAAAGCATAATTACACATTACTTTACAGATATGTGCTGTTATTTTTAGCCTTTTTT